ACTCTAAACACTTTAAAAGAGCACAGTATATCATGATTTCAGCTCTGCCATGACTGCGCTCTGCGCTCGTGGCCACGCCCACTTCTCCGCTGTAGAGCAGAGATAGACAGAGGAGGGAGGAGGAGCTGCAGGAGGAAGTTTCTCCTTTTTAAATTTTTTTTTATAAACTTTATTTCAACCAGACAATATTACAAAAGTATTTCAATCCAAAGAAGCATCAAAACACAATTTAAAAAAAAGATATACAACTATCACAGACCCTATCAAACTAGACCTCACAGTTCTTTACTAAATATAAATGCAACTATCTCAACAAATATACAAAAATAAATTCAAGTTTAAATAGCAGAGGGTCTGAAACAATAAACAAAGAAATACAAGGGAGTTTCTCCTGCAGTGTGGGCTGCACAGGTGCTAAATAGTTTAAAATAATTAATTTAAAATAAAAAAATACATGCCGATCATGAAGCTCATCCGTCAGTCAACCAATTATGTATTCGTGATGTCCAATCTTTTTTTGAAAACCGCGATAGAGTGAGTCCACAAAATAAAAACTGCAAAGTATCGAGGGACTACTCTAGTACATTTAGGGGAAAAATGTATATTTTAACAGCTGTTTGATATTTAAAAATTAGAGCCTATCAAATACCATGAATATGATGTAGTGCTACTAAAATTGATTAACTCAAAGCTTAGCTCTTTCATACACTGGCCTTGCTTCATGTGATTGTGCTTGCATGGCCATCAGCAGGCAGTGATCCCTATTGTGTGTCATACTTCATATACCTTGTTCTCCAGCTGCAGACTCACCTGTATTAGTAGCAGAGAGGAGCAGAGCTGTTTGTGCTGCAGCTCACATTGACATACCAGTAAATGAGTTCTGCATATGCTAATGCCATGTTATCCAGTGTAGGCTGTGTTATGTGGTACCATGACATTCATAAAAGTATTCAGATGCTTCAATGTCTGAGTTCTGCTGTGTACAGAAAGTTGATGTTTTTTCCCCTCTCTCTCTTACAGGACTTTGTTTATTCAAGACTCCTCTCCCCAGAGTATGCATCATCTCCTTGGTAACAGGCCTCAGACAGAGACAGAAAAGATTGGGCCAGACTGGTCCAGTGGCATCCAGCCGACCTGACCCTGGACTCGCTGAATGAGAGTTTACCAGAAAAACCTTCACAGTTAGTCCCCAATGTGATGCCAGCATCCTGTGAATCTCCATGTGACCACATTTTTTACAACAGTGGTGTTGTTACATGCCTCAGAATGTCTGAAAAACAAAACAATGCCTGAAATATTCATAATTTAAAGCTGACATAACTTTAAAAACATTACTTTTTTAGAAAATTTAAATGCAAATAACTTTTCTAAAATCTCAGAAAAGAAAAGTTACTTTCTTTAGTTCACTATTTTCCTGGGTCACAATGTTTTACACCTCCACAACGGGACTGTGAGCAGCTCAGCATTAGCTGGTCTCAGAGGACTCCTACACCCGGGTCAGAATGCACCAGCTGTTCAGTCAGGTGCTGGACCAGAGAGATCTGTCCAGAGCAGGAGATCTGTTTTCTCTAGAGGACACAGAGATCGAAGACTGTCTGTCTCAAGCTCTGGACCAGATCAAGGACATCTCCTGCTCACCTGTGAGTATGACGTTTTAGACAGGCGATCTAACTATGTACAACAAAAACAGCAGATAATTATGCAAATAATTGCAAGGCAAGTGTCGCTTTAATGAATTATTTATTTTGTTGTGCATGAATAACGGGCTTTGTCCTTAGTTCATCATTTTGTGCTTCATTTTGCATATTGCTGCTGTCGAACAGGACTATTTGACCAACGACAATGATCAGGCTGTGGTAGAGATCTGCATCACACGAATCACCACAGCCATCAGAGAGACCGGCTCCATCGAGAGGCACAGCACGGCACTCGTGGGTCTGTGGGAGTCGTGTCTGGAGCACAACCTGACCCCTCAAGGGGAAAACACAGAGGACATGCCGCATGCTAAGATAGCCTCTGATATCACCAGCTGTATCCTACAGGTATACACACACAAACACACACACAAACACACACACCTCTTAGTTGTTCCTCTCCATCCACCGCCATCACCTCACATCATTGTGTCCCGGTATTCCAGGACAACTGCACATCTTTAAGAGCTGCCATGATCTCACTTTTATTTTATAAATCACAGAAAAGTTCATCTGCAGCCTCAATAAATGTTATTTTTCATAACTTCGCCATCACTGAAAGACTTTGTGTGTTTGGCGAGAAGGCAGCTGACCTGGCCTGATGCTGCGGAGGCTTCCTTCATTCAACCTTTATTTATACAGGTTTGTCTCATTGAGCCTCGAGGATTCATTTACAAGAGAGGCCTGTTTTAAACAAAGAACACTGATGAAGTACAGACAACAATAGACAATCATATAAAAAGCATATACAGTATCGTATTTTCTGCTGTACACGTTGCACCACCCTATAAGTCGCATCAGTTCAAATACGTCTAATAAAGTGGAAAAATCCATCAATACATCACTTCGCTGTGTACGTCGCATGCATTACGAGTCACCGCTGATGCGTCGCGTTTGTTACCCGTCACTGCTGACAACCCAGAAATGTGGGCCAGTGTTGTGCCAAATATCGATTGGCTGCCAAATGGCGGCCGCAGGAGCGTGCACGGGAGGACTTCAACAAGAGTTTAACAAGATTAACACTTAAAAACAATTATTTGTTTGCCCGAAATTATAGTAAAGGTGTGTCTCAGTCTAACTTTTCCTTAATAAATGCACTTTGATGGTCAAATCAGCTGCATTTCAAAAGCTGATACCCGGAAGTAGGAACGCGCAGAGGGACAATTTGCTGCTCTTTTTCCTTTTTTTATTTAACAACACCTAAAAACAATTATTTATTTGCTTGACTTTATAGCAAAGGTGTGTCTCAGTTGAACTTTTACTTAACAGAAGGGCTTTAACAGTCAAATCAGCTGTATTTCAAAAGTATTCACTGTCTCGGTGCTCCGGGAGCACACAGACAGGGAGGAAGTCATAAAAGAGGAACGCTGCACATTTCTTCTAAATTTAACAGGATAAGCACCTAAAACAATGTGTTTGCTTGACATTATAGTAAAGGTGTGTCTCGGTTTAACTTTTTTTACTTGATAAATGCACTTCAATGGTCAAATTAGCTGCATTTCGCCGGGGTGGCTCAGCAAAAGGAATCTGATTTGATGGTAGCTCCAGGCAAGCTGGACGAAGGTGGAATTCTATGGCAAGCCATTTAATAGCCTCTTACCTATTATATGACTCAACGGCATGCCATACCCCTCGAGTTCCATCTAGCGGCTGAAAATGGTAGTGTTCAATATATTCAGTCCGAATGAATTGAAACGGTCATATCTCAGCCAAAAATTGGTTCATAAATCTGGGAACAAATCCATAAATACGTTACTTCAGCGTATAAGTCACAGGGTATGCAAATTATGCAAAAAAACACGACTTATGCAGCGAAAATTACAGTAGTTACTCGCTACTTCGCAGTTCGTTTTTTGCGGACTCGCTCTATCGCGGTTTTTCAAAATAAGATTGGACATGACACACAATTGGATGGTTGATGGATGAGCTGCACGATAAGCATGGAATTTTTATTTAAAATAAATTATTTTAAATTATTTATCACCTGTTGCACTTTTGTGAAGCCCACACTGCAGGAGAACCTTCCTCCTGCAGCTCTTCCTTCCTCCTCTGTGATCTCTGTTCTGCTGTGGAGAAGTGGGCGTGGCCAAGAGCTAGGGCTTTAACAGACTACTTGAGTAATTGACACATTGATTCCTAGGACATCTCTCGAGTTTTTAAATTTCACGTTGAGTATTCGTAGTGACGTAATTACGTCGCCATTAGAGCATTGTGTCACGTGTCACGTGATCCGCACCTGGCGCGGGCTACAAAATGTATTCCTCCAAGCAGACGGATGGAGCGGAGCAGGCCCAGTCTTGGCAAACAGGTAGAAATGCATCAATAGTATGGAAATATTTCACTAAAAATGAATCTTCCGGTTCAACTACAGGAAGGAAACAGAAAATGAAACTTCCTGACTGTTTTGAGCTCATTGCAAACCGGTGTTACACCATATTCTTTGACCACTGTATATTGTGACCATAGGGGGCGGTGTTGCATGCACTGTTGCAGGTCACAGAATATGGTGTAACACCGGGTCCAATCGATCGAACCAGAACCAGCTTCCTCTGACCTTATTTCACAAACAAAAAGCAAAAAATATTAATCACTAAACCTATTAAAAAACCTATAAACATATTAATCTCTAAAACTAAACCTAATGCGCACCACAGTGGGCGGTGGTGTGAGGTGGTCACCCGCCCCACTGTTTTTAAGTTTTGTTTTTGACGTGCCGCACGTTTCTTTCACTTTTGCAGTCTAATAATAATAACTAATAGTTTTGGGTTTCATGTGACTTAGTTGCAGTATGATAAATGGTAGGAGCATATGCTCCCAATGTTTTGTTGGTCTTTTTTTTGTAAATAATAAATGACTTTTTTAGCAGTTTTATTTATTTATTTATTTATTAATCTTGAGATCATATGACGTCATAAACTACTCGAGTTCTACTCGAGTATTATTATGTTAATGTCGAGTTTAAAAACTATGTAGTCGTTCAACCCCTACCGAGAGCGCACAGTGCAGCCATGGCGGAGAGGAGGAAGAGCTAAAATCATGACATTCTGTGCTCTTTTAGAGTGTTTAGAGTTTAGAAACATTGTTTATAATATTGCAAGAGTGTGGGAAGGGCATTAAATGCCTTTTTATATATAAAAATAAACATAAATATGAATACTAAAACAAACTATTACTTACTACTTGTACTACTATCCCTACTTTGCGGTTTTTCACTTATATCTGGGTTTCAGGGTATGGATCCCCCACGATAAACGAGCGGCTACTGTAAAATGAAAAGTAAATAGAAGAAATTATATAAAAATGAAACAAAAAACAGCTACATCATAAAACTGTGTAAAATGCTAAAAACTGGAACATGCCTGCATTGTTTTTTGCCATGAACTTAACGATGGTTTAAAATTACTTTGAAAGGTCAAGGTCGAGAGCTTCATATCTTTTTGCAAGGAGTTCCATGTTACAGGAGCGGAGTAAGAGAAGGCCCCTTTTCCTAGTTTTTCATCTCCTGAACTTTCTGGACTTGTAGTGGAGAAATCTGTCTCAAAGCATCTTGCAATGCTGTTCCAAGTTACACTTTTTGGACATGGTTACACTTAAATTATAAAGGCAAAGGGACTTTACATTTTAGAAAATGTGAAGAGAGACAATATTTATTTTTTGCTTGTTTGTCAGTCATTTTTGAGCACCGATAACACACAAGCTACTTTTTCAACCTACAGGTTAATCCCATTGAGCCTCGGGAACTCATTTACAAGAGAGACCTGATTTCTTAACAAAGAGTGATGACAACAATGGATAACAACGACAACAATAAATATTCATAAAATATGCATAGGCATACAAATTTAAGGTCAGTCCTAACTGAGGGAACACTGCATGTAATAATGTCCTGAGAGTGTACGCTGTAGCTGCACTTGCGCAGAGACATGTAGGAGGAGATGTATGAAGGCAACAAAGACGTGATTTAAATATAAAAATGTACCAATGGGAGAGTCTGCGTGAGGTTAATGATGTCCAGTTAACCAGTTAATACAGAGTGCAATGATGGGTATGGTAGTTGCAGCCAGTTGTGAATCTTAATGCACCGTGATAGGTAGCATCCAGCATCTTCAGGGTGCTTGTAGGAGCGTTCATTATAGATAATGTCACCGTAGTCAATAGAACGAAGGAAAGTCACAGTTACAAGGCGTTTCCTAGCATTCAGAGTTAGACAGGATCTATTTCTGAAAAAGAAACCCAGTTTAACTTTCAGTTTCCTTACTAGATTTTCCATGTGAAGATTAAAAGAGAGATGCGAGTCCACCAAGATACCCAAATATGTATAAGAATCGACAAACTCAATAGGGACACCATTTGAAGATAAAATCAGAGGAAGAACTGATGGGACTGACTTCCTGTTTGGGAAAAAAGCATCCCTTTGGTTTTGTCGGCATTTAGGTCAAGTTTGTGGTGGAACAAATCTGACTGGATGATGTCAAAGGTGGATTGCAAAAGCTGGAGAGCCTTAGCAACTGTATTTATCAACTGTCACTCACTACCGCTGTCATACAGATGCCTGCAGGCAGTGATAGGAGTGCCACCCACAGTTTGACAGGTGGCTGATAGAAAAACTTTATTTTTGACTCTTTGTTGTTCTTAAAAAAGGTTTAAGTGTATCTAGAAGGGTAGGTTGAGAGAATGCAGACATAATAATAATGCTAAATATTAAACAATATATATATTTTTCATTTAGCCTTTATTTATACATGTAGTCTCATTGAGCCACGAGAACTCATTTTCAAGAGAGACCTGTTTAGGGAGCACATGGTGGGGTTAAGGGCCTTGCTCATGGGCCCAGAGTGGGGCGAATGAGGTTGGGGGCAAGTGTGGGTGTTTCACCTACTCCACCCACAATTTTGATGTTGTCGGGGCCGGGACGGGAACCGTCGATCTTCGGATCACAGGCCCACCTCTCTAACCTCTGCGCCACCACTCCCCAATATAGTTTTAAAAAAAACTCAAGTTGTTGTCTACAAACCTCCTGATCTCCAGATTGACTAGAGACCAGTCCGTGATCTACAAGTTAATTGCGATTGATCTGTTGGGTACACCTAGTCTAAGCAAGGGCTGATTGACCACTGGTCATTCCGTATGCAAACTCAGACCAGTGGTCATTCCGTATGTTGCAGGAGTCGGTACTTTATGTTGTGCCATTATTGCATGCTTTAGTATTTCCTATGTGTTTGTTTTTTTGTTTTTTAGCGAGTCAAATCGGTTCTTCTCATCCTGAACATTTCATTGTACTGATGCATGTGCAATAATCAGGTAGAAAAATCTAAAAAAGTGTTTTTTATAAGACTGAGCTGAATACA